GAACCCACGGGCTCAGGCAATCCACTCACCTCAGCCTCCCAAAGGCGTGGGATTACAGGCTGAGCCACTGAGCCCGGCTAATTTTTTGATTTATTGTAGAGATCAAGTTTTGCCAAGTTGCCCAGGTTGGTCTTCAACCCATGGGCTCAAGGCATTCCTCTCACCTCGGCCTTCCAAAGTGCTGGGATTATAGACATGAGCCACCATGCCCGCCCTCATTTTAACTTTTTTAAAAAATGATTCAACCTTTTCCACTTAATTCCTCCTAAAATCTCACTGAATAATACATAAAATGAGAAAATGCTTTAGTGTTGGGCATGGTGACACATGCCTGTAATCCCAGCTACTCAGGCAGCTAAGGTAGGAGGACCACTTGAGCCTAGAAGTTCAAGATCAGCCTGGGTAACACAGCGAGACACCACCCCACCCCATCCCCACCAAAAAGAAAAAATGTTATTAGAACACGTCAGAAAAAAATTTTTTTGAGTTGTAGTCTCACTCTGTCATCTAGGCTGGAGTGCAGTGGCACCCTCATGGCCACCGCAGCCTCAACCTACTGGGCTCCGGCAATCCTTCCACCTCAGATTTCCACGTAGCTGGAACTATAGGCACGTGCCACCATGCCCAGCTAATGTTTTTATTTATTGTAGAGACAAGGTCTTGCCAAGTTGCTCAAACTGGTCTCAAACCTGTGAGCTCAGGCAATCCTCTCGCCGCCTCCTCCCAAAGTGCTGGGATTACAGATGTGAGCCATCACTCCCAACCCTAGAACACTTTTAGTTACACTTTTAGTATTTTTTGATATCCTGACGACCCTTCAATAATTCATACTACAATTCTAAAATATCTAAATTCTTCATCAAGTTTTTTGTTTGTTATGAGGGGTCTCACTCTATTGTCTAGGCTGAAGTACAGTGGTACGATCACGGCTTACTGAAGCCTCAACCTTTGGGGTTCAGGCAATCGTCTGCCTCAGCCTTTCAAGTAGCTAGGACTACAGCTGCACCACAATGCCCGGCTAATTTTTAAACTTTTTTTGTAGAGATGAGGTCTCACTATGTTGCCTAGGCTGGTCTAAAACTCCTGGGCTCAAGGCAATCCTCCCACCTCGGCCTGCCAAAGTGCTGGGAGCCACCATGCACAGCCTCAATTTTTATTTTTAAACAAAATTTGGGGCTTTCATGTTGAATGGCATGTATTCACTGTATTATTTTAGATTACAACAGATGGTAGCAAATCAATTTCCTTTTGCCATTAATCTACCAATACCTATGGTAACACAAATGGGCACCTGATGTAAAATGCTTTATATGTAAAAAGCCAAGCATAAGACATAAAGCTGTTGGAAAATATACCTAGACAAGTTTTTCTAGATGGTAGAAAATATAAAACAATCAGAGGTAAGATTGGTATCATCTACTTATAATGATACTCAGTGCAATTTTTTCTCTTTCCTTTCCCCAGAAGACTATATTAAGACTTCATTTTAAGCCGGGCTCAGTGGCTCAGCCTGTAATCCTGCGCCTTTGGGAGGCTGAGGTGAGTGGATTGCCTGAGCTCACGGGTTTGAGACCCGCCTGGGCAGGCAAGACCTCATCTCTACAATAAAATCAAAAAATTACCCGAGCATGGCAGCGCACGCCTGTAATTCCAGCTACTCGGAAGGCTGAGGCGGAAGGATCGCCGGAGCCCAGCAGGTCGAGGTTGCGGTGGCCGGGAGCGGCCACTGCACTCCAGTCTGGGCGACAGAGTGAGACTCCAACTCAAAAAAAAAAAAAAAGACTTCATTTTAAATATCTGGCGCATATCCAGCCCTTAGAAAAGAAAGATTTAAGACCAACATCTCCATTCCACCAGACAGCTTTCCAGCTAGAGGCCATACTTACTTTTCTCTATCTGTTTTGTAGATCCGAGCAATCTCAGGCACTAAAGGATCATCTGGATTGGGATCACACAACAGAGAACAGATGGACAAGAGTACTAGAAAGAAAAAAAACCTACATATTAGTAGCGGATAAAAGCAAAGAGTTGAGAGAAACATGAAATGACAACACATGAGAAAATTCTAGGAAGCTATTTATACTGTTAGTGCCTAGAGGCTTTGGAAGTTCTAACTTTATATAAACAGTAATCAACAAAGATTTCAAGACGCTTAAACAGACTTTAGGTTCAGTAATTAAAAAATAAAAATGAAAATAGCAGAAAATGAATGTTAAATGGCATCCTAGTTTCTCAGATAAGGATATAAGCCCCTTTGTTAAAAGTCTCACAAAAACTCGTAAGAGTTGCTATGACTGTCTCTATGCTGAACTCAGATGCCGGCCCAGACAGGTGAAGTGACCTGTTCAATGTCCCTGGGTAGTAGTCAGCATGGCATTAGAATTTGGTCCAAATTCTAAACCAAGAACACGTTTCAAAGCCCATAAAGTTCAATTTCTAGAAACCCATGTTTAGGGATGAGTGGCTTTCAAAACATCAAAGACTCCTGGGCAAGGTGGCTCACGCCTATAATCCCAGCACTTTGGAGGCCTAGGCAAGAGGATTGCTTGAGCCCCGGTCATTTGAGACCAGCTTAGGTAACACAGGGAGATCTCGTCTCTACAAAAAAATTTAAAAAATTAGCCAGGCATAGTGGTGCACATCTGTAGTCTAAGCTACTAGGCAGGCTGAGGCAGAAGAATCTCCTGAGTCCAAGAGGTTGAGGCTGCAGTAAGTCGTGATTATGTCACTGCACTTCATTCAGCCTGGGTGATAGCATGAGACCCCTATTCAAAAGAATAAAATAAAATAAAAATTTTTAAAAATTCCAGAGACAACTACACTACTGTGCTGGGCATAGTGACTATTAAACCAGCACTTTAAGAGGCCAAAGCAAGAGAATGGCTTGAGGTCAGGAATTAAATATCAGCCTGAGTAACATAGTGAGGACCCTCTCTATTTTTAAAAGTAAATGAAAATAAAATAAAAGCCACATTACTGAATACTCTTGGCAAAAATGACAACCATAAAATCCAACAATCACTGTTTTTTCAATGACAGGTACCACATTCAAACAATGGATTTGTTTCATTTTCAGTTGAAAACAATGTAGTAGTGCTGGGCTCGGTGGCTCAGCCTGTAATCCCGCGCCTTTGGGAGGTTGAGGTGAGAGGATGGCCTGAGCCCGCGGGTTCGAGACCCGCCTGGGCAGCGAGACCTCATCTCTACAATAAATCAAAAAATCAGCCGAGCATGGTAGTGCATGCCTGTAATTCCGGCTACTGGGAAGTCTGAGGCGGAAGGATCGCCGGAGCCCAGCAGGTCGAGGCTGCGGTGGCCGGAAGCGGCCACTGCACTCCAGTCCGGGCGACAGAGTGAGACTCCAACTCAAAAAAAAAAAGAAAAAAAGAAAAAAAGAAAACAATGTAGTCTAAGCTAAGAACATAAAGGCAAGTACTTGCCCCCAAATGTGGATGGCTACACACTTATTACAGAGCATACAACATACTTATTCTAGGGTTTCAAATTATTTTCAGTGACGATTTAGAATCTTATCTAATCTATTTCTTCAGTGACAACCTGGAATGTAGAAGACAAATGTCAATAGTATAATTTCCTCTGTTCAAATCTGTCATTAACTTATGTATTCATTACTGAATGCAAAGCGGGGAGCCAAGGTCACTGATTACATTAAGTTCAGTAGCCTCTAACATAATGAAATTTAAATCCTTCTATACTGATGCTAATAGAACTCAGCTATCTTATTTTTTTCTAATGTTCTGTACCAAGAAACAATAATTCTGAGCCACTCCCAGAACAACAAATTCAGCACAGAAAATGATTTATCCATCTTCCTATCAAATCTATTCTATAGAGATCAAGGGTTTCTAAGAGGTGATAAAAAAGTTGACATGCCCTTTATCATTCAGTTTGTTAACAAAATTGCTATTTCCTTGCCTTAAGAGTATATGAAAAATTAAAAACTGAGCATGTTTCCATCAGGAAACATGTTTTCTGATTCTTCATGCTCATTGCCCACAATTCTGGCAGTTGGCATTCCCAAAACATCTTCTCTTCCCACTGTCAAGTGTACCTGATGCCCTCTTCAAGCACAGAATATTCTAACAGCAATTAGGAAAGATTTCATGTATTTCCTGGAAATGACAACAGGAAGTTATAAATTTCTGAATGCTCATGAAAGTACTGATTATAGAAAGAAACTTATCTGGCCTATTCAACTGGCAAGAGTACACTGACTGCTCACCTAAAATTAGACATACAACTTGACCCTTAAACAACATGGGTATGAACTACCAGGATCCACTTATGCGTAGATTTTATTTTGTCTCTTCCAACCCGGAGATAGCAAAACGAAGCCCTCATTTCCCTGCTCTTCCTACTCAACATGAAGACATCAAGGATAAAAGACCTTTATGATGATCCACTTCCACTTGATGAACAGTAAATATATTCTTTCTTTTAATTCTTTTTTTTTTTTTTTTTGTGGAGTTGGAGCCTCACTCTGTCACCCAGACTGAAGTGCAGTGGCACGCTCCTGGCCACTGCAGCCTCGACCTGCTGGGCTCCGGTGATCCTTCCGCTCAGTCTTCCAAGTAGCTGGAACTACAGGTGCGTGCTACCACACCCAGCTAAGTTTTGATTTATTGTAGAGACGAGATCTCGCCAAATTGCCCGGGCGGGTCTCGAACCCGCGGGCTCAGGCAACTCACTGGCCTCGGCCTCCCAAAGTGCTGGGATTACAGGCTGAGCCACCAGGCCCAGCCCTTTGTAATTCTTATTAACTTTTTTTTCCTCTAGTTTATTTTACTTCAAGAATACAGTATGCCGGATGCAGTGGTTTATGCATATAATCCCAACACTTCGGGAGGCGGAGGTGAGAGGACTGCCTGAGCTCAGGGCTTTGGCAGCTTGGCGAGCGCTCGTCTCTACAATAAATAAATAAAAAATTAACCAGGTGTGGTGGCACAGGCCTGTGGTTCCAGCTACTTGGAAGGCTGAGTTAGAAAGGTCACCTGGGGTCAGCAGGTCTAGGCTGCAGTGGCTGTAAGCGTGCTACCTGCACTTCAGCCTGGGCAACAGAGTGAGACTCCAACTCATGTAATACAATTAACATATAAAATTTGTGTTAATTGCTTATATTATCGTTAAGGCTTCCGGTCAATAGTAGATTATTTATTAGTAAAGCTGTTGGGGAGTCAAAAGTTATACGTGGATTTTTGATTGTGCAAGGGGCGGGTACCCCAACCCTTGTGTTATTCAAGGGTCTACAATACTACCAAATTAGTATTTGTTACAAATTCCCTTTACTAATTCTTCTAATTATTCTAATAAGGCAAATTTCAAAGGATAAATTTTAAAGAAACAGCTTTTCTGACTTTCTTTCCAGGAAAGGAAAGTGGGGTATTGAATGTCTGGACCTGGTGAAAGGATTCTTGGTACACCACTTAGCTCATTTAATTCATGAAAAATTAATTTTGCCTTATAATATACTATACCATCTTTCGCTGTAAACAGAATAGTTCCTATTTCTACAACTTGTGTATGTCTCTTCACTGAAGTGACTAACTTTTCACCTATACATATTATTTATCAGTATTACTCATTTTCATCAGTGATATAAATCACAGTCCCTTTTAATTCTAAAAACACAATCAATTACTTTATAGTACATTTATCTGCTTCCTGTAAGCTTGTTGTATATTTCAGTCTCCAACATGCATTTTTCAAAGTGTAGTGAGTGACTCCTGGGTCAAAATTACTACCCCCAAGCCAGGCTCGGTGGCTCAACCTGTAATCCTACACCTTTGGGAGGCTGAGGTGAGTGGATTGCCTGAGCCCGCAGGTTCGAGACCCACCTGGGCAGCGAGACCTCATCTCTACAATAAATCAAAAAATCAGCTGG